AAATTATACTTAAAACAATTAAATACATACCAATAATTAAAAAAAAAATTGAATTTTGAAAAAAGTCATCTTACCCAACCAAGCTCACCCATCACTTGTTAAAAGCCCACACATTATATTATCCACCCCACTCAAGGTCAAACAACAACTAGGGCCCCGTTTGGGAGTAATTTTTCACACCAAGAAATTGATTTTTTGACTGTTATTTCACTATTCAAACCGTAATTTTTGACTTCTTCTCTTATGGGTGAATCCCAGTTTTTTCCTCATAGTAAAAAAATCAATTCTCATAACTCTACCGAACAGACCCTAGATGTGGTACAAAATGGATTAACGTTTTTTTCTTAATGATAATAATGACCCGAATTTTTTTATTTATTATTTATTATTATTATTATTTTTGCCTTTAATAGTGCCAGCAATTTAATTAAATTGGTCGTAGCACGTTTTCATCTATTTGTGCAATATCATAAATTTTTACGACAAATTGAAATATTTAGATAATAAGAATTACCAGTCTAGAAGTGATGTTTGGCCATAGGTAAGAGTGGATTGGGATGGGTGTTGATGCTTGTTTGGTAAAGACAAAATTTTTCTTAATTATTTATTTGATTTGTTATTATGTATTTAATGTTTTAAGTTGAATTTGTTTGTACTTTTTGAATAAATAATAGGACTCTATTTGTAATTATTTTTCTTATTTTTTGTTGTATTAATTCTTTTTTTCATGTTTATTTAAAGAGAAAGATAAATCCTCCATTGAATGATCAAAATGGAGAAAATGACGTGTTTTGCTACATGCTTGAGAAATTGTGGATGAACTATGCTATAACTAACAAATATACTGTGCGTTAGCACTAGTATATTTTCAGAGGAAAATTTCTAATTTCCTTATATGACTCCAATTTTTATGAAAACAATATTGGGGATGCCTTTTAAGACCTAGGACTGTCCAGATACTCAAAAATAAATAAATAAATAAATACGTATTAGAGAGCGTAGAAGACAACAAGGAACATAAAGAGAGATTCCATGACGTAAAGATCCAACCAAGATTCATTATTTGGGAGATTTCTACTTCATATTTATAGATCTTTTTCTTCAAAACATGTTAGACTAGATTTTTTTGTACTAGGAAAATGATTAACGCTGTAATATGAGTTTTTAATACTTAGTTTTACATATTTGACATTGAAAACACATTTTGGGATTTTGAATGATTTACATGATTATCTTTTCTTTACAATTATTGTGCACAGTAGTTGTACGAATTTTGTGGCTTATTTTATACATTCGAAAGAATGAAAATGGGCTCGATATAGTGTAAATCATTATAGGGTTCGATAGGGAAATAGAAACATATGTGAATCTTTAAGTGTTCATGAAAATTCATGGATTTTTGTATGTTCGCATCAGTCATGAAAATACAGTCGGGTCATATACGAGAGTAGGTTTAAAACATTACTCGAGAAAAAATGTTGAATAACATAGGAATATTGGTTCTTCAAATTTCAATCACGTTGTCAAAGCGTATAACTAAGGTTAAAAAATATTATTACATGAGAATTTGGGATCATAGTGTGCTTGTAATCCATTAGAACACATCAATTTGCATCGAGTATAATTTGCATTTAGCTTAATTAATTTACTCATAATTGCATATGTAGATTATTTTAGTTATAATTTTGTCACAAACAAATACATCAAATCATTATTGTTTTAGTTAAGGTCACAATAATTAAAATTGAAATAAAGCAATTTCTATGGATGGTATTTCGACTCAAATTCACTTTATTACTTGTTGACAAATCATATACTCGCCGAAATTTTAAATAGAAAGATGTTTTCGTGAATACTGACGAAAGAAAAATGACACTACAAATCTGGTTGACCAAAATATAAGTATCAAAAATTAAGTCAAATGTGTATATAAACTTCTCGCAACATTCTATTTGCCAAATATGCTAGAAACATATCTAATCTTTAATCATAATTGCATAGAAATCCTTAGTCCTCTTAAATATAATCGATAAGTCTTAAATAAGTAATAAATGATAAAATAAATGCCGTCCCTTTCCATGTCCGCTTTAAATTATATTTGACGTTATCCAATTTTGTAAATCAATCACCATAAGACACCTTATGATTTCGTTATCACAACACAATTATGAAGTTCACTCTTGCTTCTTTTTAAACCTAACTTCACGTCCACTAAAATTCATTTATAACGTGGATTCAAGGGACTGGTCAACTTTTTGACAAATTAATCATGAACAATCAAATCTCAAATTCAAAATAATCGAATCTCAACTTTAAAGTTACTTTTTAAAATAAATTGACTTATCTTCCCCAACTCAAAATCAATTAATTAACAATTATAAAGAACACGAGGTAGTGGACACTAGTCCCTGTTTGACCCCAAATTTTGAGAAAAGTTTTTGTAAAAAAATATTACTTTTGAAGAAAGTACGTTTAAAAGTAGGGAAAAAGTTTGAATTTATATAAAAACTTATTTTATTGAAAGAACGTATATGTTCTTGAATTTGAATAATTTGGACGTAAAGTATCTACATGAAGTTAAAGAAAACCCAGTAAGCTATTTGCATATTTTGAATTTAAAAAGCAAAAAAGTTCCTAAAGGGTTTCTTTTCTTTTTCAACAAATTAAAATGTGTAATATACTCTTATTAGAAATTCATTCTCTGATTCATCATATTCACCATTAAGCACCGACCCCAACCGTTCCACATTTACATATTCGTTCCAACTATTCTCAGTGCTATCAGAGTCGTCCCCTCCTCCAACCCATCATATAATTCACCACTATACCCTCGGGTATAATCCAGTGGTACAAAGGACAGGAGTTAGACAGTTTCAGCCTTGCTAACAGTCGTAGTGTAAGGGTTCGATTCCTGAGATATGGAATTAGACTCTTTCTGGGCACCAGTGTACGGGCAAGCTCTTGTTCCCTGGCCTATTGGGACACATCCCGCGATTTACCTCCCTCACAATACTTCAAGGGCAAGATGGTGGGGGCCCTCAAGATTGGGGTTCAACCTTCTTTTTTATATATAATTCACCACTATACATACAGAAAAAGGGGACGGAAGTCGCGAGAAAACTAGTTTATCAAAATTATTTCAAAAATGAAAGCTTTTTATTTCTTGTTTGTCGGTACAATAACTACGATTTACATAGCTGTTAAAGAAAAAGTCAAAAAAAACAACAATAGAGGAAAGGAAAAGGCATGTCACATGATATGATATGAACTAGGAAGGATAAATGAGTACAACATGTTTGGCCTTATTGTGAAGGTTAATAAAGGCTTCACCTTTTGATCTCTCTCTGGCTTTCTCTTTCGCCTTTGCTTCTCCTCAACGTCGGTAGCCAAAACATAATTAATTATATCATTATTTACTCCCCACTAACATAAAATTAATGCTTTAATGTATATTTATTTATTTGAGATAGCAAATATGCATTTATGAGAATTTCAATTACATCCTATTTACAATCAATATCTTCAATACAATTGTCCATTTAAAAAGTATCGATGTAATTTCATAAAATAAATTAGTTTGAACATTGTCCATGATTATTCAGAAGTCAAAAAGAGTTTTTGGGAGCCAGAAATTATTTTTGGACCTGATTGATTTATTTTGTAAAAGTTTTTTTTTTTTTTTAATTAGAAGATCTTTTGGAAAAGTTAACTCAACGTGACTTCTTCTAAAAAAGAAGTATTTTATAGAAATCGGTTTTCAAATACTAATTAAGATAATTTCTTCATAAAACCCTTTTTTTTTATAGGAATCAAAAATATAAATCTTGTCAAACAAACTCTAAAAACGTCAAATGACAGGATTTGAAGATGTAAGCAAACGAATTTCTCCTGATATCTTAATCCGAATTAAAGATTTAAGATTACTCAAAATTCATAATATTTAGCTTTAGTCTAGTGGTGATTAAAATTAAAATTTTAGTATATTTTTATAAAAAAGATAAAAAAAAATGTGCTATTAAAAAATTATGGATTTTATGTAATATGTAGTTAAAACTAATTGTTGATTTTAACCCTTTCAAATCGGGACGTATTATTATATATGGGAACCGCTATTTATATCTACAATTGTTATATGTTTATCACACTATATAAGCTAAGCACCGGTACTTAAAATATCAAATTCGTATATGGTCATTAAAGTGCACTGTCAAATTTCTTTACTTATTTTTATTATTCAACATTATTGTTTTGAATTCAAATAAATCAAGAAAAAAAAATCTCAGCAGAAAACTCAAATTCTTGTTTTGACATTTCTAGCAAAAAAGATAGCAATCAAGTTTTTCAATTCAAGAAAATAAAAGATAATTCTAAAAGAAACTCAAATAATTTGAAATAAAAACTCTTACTAATATTACTTGAATTCAAAAGGCGTATTATCAAATAACCCAAACACAAATCAAGAATTGTCCACACACTAAATTAATCAAACCCACAATTTTTTTCAAATTATTCTTCATATATTGCTATATCTGTCTTTATTTGCTCGAATGGTGTCTCTCTTTCATTATTGTTTTGGACCTTAGCTTTAGTTGAAGAGAATATTTTATAAATATTAGAATTTTATAAAAAAGGATCCAAAAGAATTTAATGAAAAAAAAATTAATTAATAAATTTAGTATGATAATATTTATTTAGTTTTACATATATCTAGTTAAGCCCTCATTTTGTCGACTTTTGAAATAAAACTTTTTAACTTTCATACTTATTTTCAATCACACATTCATACAATAAAATATTTTTAGTCATAAATTAAAAAAATGTCCCTACATTTTAACACTTCAAAAAATTATTATTTAAAACAACATTTTTTTTATTTTTATTTTTTCAAAATAAGGCTTAGTTTACATAATATAAAATATAATATAATTTTTTTAAAGTGGATATACGATGGCTATAAATAGCAACTCTTTTATTATCGTATTAACTTGCCATTCAGGTGAAGTAAAGCATTTGAAGTGTTGCATGGTCATATATTCACCATCAACACTACTTGTCCATGACTCTGACTCCTCCCAGTTGTCTCCATACGATTTAGAGAGAGAAACAAATACACTCCTCCTTCCATCCATACACCTATACATACAAATCTAGAGTGAACAGATGCTGTGGTGGAAATGGGGAAAGTCGATAATCAACGACTACCAGTGGTGCAGCAGCAGCGCTGGCAACAGACTCAGAACGACGTTTCTAGAAACTTCTTCGGCCGTAGATGTTCGGTGGTCCTTTCTAGAATCTTCCAAGAATTTAATTTCAAATGTTTCGTGGTTTTGATACTTGGCTTAGCGGTTTTTCTTTCGGCCGTGTATTGGGTTCTTCCTCTTCGCAATAAGAAAGCTGGATTTGATGCTAAAGACTCCATCAAGCTCAGTGGTAATTATTTATGATCTGCTCAATTATCTTTTATTTTATTTTTTTATTTTTTTTATTTTTCATGTTTTGTATTCGTGTTGGGGGATTTTTTTGTTATTTTGTAATTAAGGTTATTTGTTTACTTTATTTGCCCCGTGCTTTTTAACTTGGGGGTTTCTGATAAATCGGAATATTATCTTCTTCCTTTTGTTTTTTCTTAGAATGATGAAATGTCAAAATTACTTATACTCCAAAAGAAGAAGTCGGTCTTTGGTAGTTAATTTTTTTGCTTGGCAACTTAGTGACAGTTTACAATGTAATCAAGCACGTATAGAGGTAACTATCTGAATATATATATATATACAAGAATAATCTCCTAAGCATAAGCACCGGTGACATAGCTCACCATTTAAATGGTGAATCAATAAATACATGGACCTACCATTAATTTATTCACCAATTAAATAGTATGCCATGTTTAGAAGATCATTTCCTTATGTGTGTGTGTGTGTGTGTGTGTTTTTCTATTATCCAAATATGGCAGGTTCTACTGGTTTCTTTAGTGGAAATTGAAGCATTATGGTATTAGCAATGAATCTATCTACTTCTCCATACAGTTTGAATAAATTGGCATATATTTTGGTAGGTTAGTTTTGTGATTTTTTGGGATCTTAATCTACTTCCCTCGTCACATCAAGGTCGTATGGAAGTACAAGTAGCTGGACACGGTCTTTAAAATTTGATTCCTGGAAGTGCAAAACAATGATTACTTCTTAAACAGGACTGTTATTTGCCAAGATGTATATGGCAATGTACTGATTGCCATTCTCAAAACTCGTGCATCGGTGCGGCCAACAAGCTTCGATTTCCTGTGGTAAAGTTGCAAAGAAATACCGGAGTCATGCTTCTTGTTTAACATGTTTGTGGCATTATCAGTTTCTCATTGTATATCTATTTGGTGCCTAGTTTAAGTGAGAGACCTTTATATATTTTCCTTGATTATTAAGTGAAACTTTGTTTGTAGGATCTCATTTCTCTCGTAAATGTACAAAATTTATGAGGGCTTTGTATGAATTTCTTTTTTGCTTTATATGAATTTTACACCTGGTAACAGCCTCCCATCTGCATAGTTCAGATTGACCCCCATTTGTGACCATATTCCCTGTCTGTATAGGCTAACCTATATATTTATATTGAATAATGCATCTAGCATCAGTAGTGTTTAGTACCAATTTAGGTGGCTTCACATGATAGGTTCAATTAAATAGACCCTACATCCTTAAAATTAATTAAATTTATTATTAAATGCCAGTTATGTTGCCATCTAGACCGACGCCACTAGGGCTAAATAGCATTACTCATTTATATTGCCAAGCCCTGACAATCACGAGCAGCATAATTTTTTTATAAACACTTCTGTCCAAGATTCCTTTAGTTATCATGATTTGGACAGAGCTTAGACACGTGAGATATTGTAGCCTCATCTTTTGGCAGTTGGGTAGTATTTTACTTCCATACTTCAATATTAATTTTCCTGGAGAGGCAGAAATGTGGAGAAAATGATTAAGCATCATCTATATGTGTTTTCCTTGTATCCTTATGGGGCTTTTATTTCTGAAATGGTCATAGAAAAAGAAAAATTAAAATGAAGATATTCAGCTTACATGGTGCTGCTTTGATTTTCCATTTACGTGCTTGGAGCTTCTTAATCATTTTTTTCCCATTTCAGCCACTGTTCAAGCATACTTCACACTTAGAAGACCAGTTTCAGAGCTTGTTCCCTATGTTGCAAGACTAGAATATGATGTCAATGAAGAGATTGGTGTCCCTTCCTTGAAGGTCTGTTTCAATTTTTACCTTCTACAGACCATATGCATTGTGTATTTGACTAAGATTGAGAAGTTATTTGTCAATATTTTTACAGGTTGCTGTTCTGTCCATGCATCAGGCGACTGTATCAAACTGGACTAACGTGGTGTTCGGTTTTCTTTCTGATCCAAAGAATACTTCAATAAATCCTGGGTCATTGATTGTGCTAAAGTCATCCTTAATTGATCTGTTTCTTCAACAATACAATTTAACGATGACCAACTCAATTTTTGGAGAGCCATCTTCATTTGAGATTTTGAAATTTCCGGATGGAATCACTGTGGTTCCTGAGCGATCTGTTCTGATTTGGCAGATATCTCAGGTCCTCTTTAACTTCACTCTCAATAGCTCAATTTTTGAAATAAAGGAAAGTATTCTTGAGATGAAGGAACAGCTAAAAGTGGGATTGCATCTGAGGCCCAAAGAGGTATATTTATATAATTATATTTATGTTGGACTTCTTGTACCTTTTAGTTGGTATTAGTAGTTAAATATTTCAAAAATACTGGTTATGTGGATTGCTTAGTAGTTTGAGGTTAACTGTTAGTTTCAATAAAGCTTCAGCAGCTATCACGACCTGCTGCAGTTCTTGTTTACTTATGACTAATAAATTAGAGCAGACCCAACCTGGTTCTATTTGAGAGAATCTATGCACTGGAAAATATGACTTTCAAATTCAGAAATATTGTCATTCTGAAAGCCGAAAGGTTTATATCAATGGATGCACACTGCCTGGGTACCTTTTAAGTTGCAAACGGATCTTAGATAAGGTCTATTGCATTTTTATGTTTTTAAAAATTCGAATTCCCAGTTGTGATTTGTGCCTTGTAAAATGTCTCCCTCCCTTTTCAAAAATTTCCCCTGAAATGCTAGAAGCCATCACATTTGGGTTTTTCACAATATTTGTTCACATCTCATGAAGTCCACTCTTTCTAATATGTATGCTAAAAGGTATTTCGCTGTATGCAGAATGTGTATATACAGGTGACAAACAAGATTGGCTCAACACAAGATCCTCCAGTTACTGTTCAAGTTTCGGTTGTACCAGATCTAGAGAGCCTACAACCTGAGAGATTGAAACAATTGGCTAAAACAATTACTGGTTCTCCTCCTGCGATGAATCTTGGCCTTGATCATACTGTCTTTGGCAAAGTCAAGGAAATCAGCCTATCCACCTTTCTAAACCATTCACTTCATGCACCAACACCAACACCAACACCAACACCAACTCCTACTCCAACACCAGCTCCAGCTCCAGCTCCAGCTCCCAGTCCATCTCCAGAACAAAGTTACAATACGGTACCATCTCTGCCTCCTCCTTATTCTCCAGCTACTCCACCGAACTTTAATCTCTCACCGCTACCCTGCCTGAACTGTCATGCCTCAGCACCATCTGATGCAAGCCAGATTTCTGGCCCCAGTCAGCAAAATGACCACCCTCACTATTCTTCATCTCCAATTTCCAATTCTCCTGCACCTTCCTTAGCATGCGGTGCTCCACATTGCGGTGGAAGTAGGGACAGGTTTGGTATCTTCCCCACATAATTTGCTGCCTTCCTTGATATGTAAGTTTCTACGCATAATATTGATATATTTCACTCTGCTTTACTCTTGGAAATAGTTGATAAGCTCTCTTATTATATATGAAATGATTTATGCCACTCCATTTGTGTTTCCATAATCGTATGTAGTTTAGTAATTTGTTTTGATCTAGTTGCTTGAGTTTCTTGTTTTAAGTGCTTGATTTGCTAAGCTTTTAAATGATTATAAGGAGTGGGTCACAAAGAATGCAAGAAATTCTAAAGAACTTATATACAGAATGAGGATGACCTGTGAAAATACATCAGTTTCTTACGCGTGCAAAGGAACTATTTCTTGACAACTTGGACAACTGAGTTGCAGAGATAACAAATAATGTATGGCATTCAATGTCCCTTCTGGGAACCCACCTTTGAAAGTGAAATTCGTGGTTAAGATGTAGATATAAGTTGTGGATCCTAAGAAAAGTGTGTTTAAAATTATAAGCACTAAAAACTTTGGCAAACATACACTAATTCAGTTGAACAGGGTGAAAAGAGAGGGGACTGAGAAATGGTATGTCTGTCTAAGAACTTCTTTTGGGTTGTCCCTCTATATTGGAATTCCATCAAAAGAATAGAAGGGAATTGGTAAATAATACTTGCAACCTGAGCTGGCTGGATGCATGCACATAAAATTTCGAGAAAAGACGTATTGTCCACTTAAAGTATAGTAATTTTTGGTTTTTTCAGACAGCCTTTTTCATTTCATACATTTTTAATTTTTACACGAGAATGGAATTGATGGAAAATGTTGTAGCAAGTGTACTCATTCTGAAAACAACAGAGTATATCTGACTAGTATTGGAGAAAATGAGTGAAGACTAGGATTAATTTTACTTCTTTGGCAACTGTCATTTGACAGGTAGAAAAAAATAGTTAATGTGCGAGCACGTTTACTAAGCCAAGACGTTATGCAATAAATTTTGATGCTGCTGGCCATTTAGGTGATGCGGGTAAACTCTATGAAGCTTAAGAGGGAACATGTTATTTATCCTGGTCTACTTTCTAAATAGTGTACAGGTAGCTGCACCAACAGTCCCAAAGGTATCGCATAGAAGTCTCAATTTAGTCCATGATATTCCAATTTCAATAATTTAATCCCTAAAGATTTAGATAACATTTCTATTGAGTTTCTTCACCTTTTGCTTTTCAACTAGAGGGAAAGATAAAAGTTTCGAGCAAACCTTGCTTCTTTAGTCCTTTCTTTCATGCTAATTTTTACCTTTCATATGTTAGTTTCTTCTCTCACTATTACTGTTCATTAATAGTTTATATTGTGTATGCTGTATTTGCAGACATTTGATCATCTCATATGAGTATATTTTCGGCTACACTTGATTAGCCGAGTAACAGATCTTGTTCCTTTGCATTGCAGCTTTTGAAGTAGGCTCCTCATGCGGGAGGATTCTGTGGTTCCACTTTTTGGGACTCCTGACATTCTCTCCTCTATTGGATATTTTGCACATAATCCAAATATGTTTTGATAGCTGCTCACAGTTTTTCCGTTCCAGAGGTGGAGTGGGTATGATTAGCTATACAAGTGTACATCAAGTAGGAAAGTTGCACAAAACCAAAATGTGGAAAGCCTAACATTGCATGGAATCATATGGGATGTGTCTTCCAAAAGGGAATGACTTCTCATTACAACTGACCATCCAAGAACGATGTTTCCTTGCAGTTTTCAGCCAAAAAAAAAAATTCAAATGTAAAATTTGCTGGTTCTTTCTGAACATTTTCAAGGGGGAGAGTCGAAATATGTTAATAGTATTGACTCTTTGTATCCCATTGTTGATACTCTAGAATCAAGTACTGTACAAAAACAAATTCACTGTAATAGTATCAACTCTTTGTTCTCTTATAGGCTAACATTAGTTTTTGTATCCCATTGTTGATACTCTAGAATCAAGTACTGTACAAAAACAAATTCACTGTAATAGTATCAACTCTTTGTTCTCTTATAGGCTAACATTAGTTTTTGTATTCCATTGTTGATACTCTAGATCAAGTACTGTACAAAGACAAATTCACTATAATAGTATCGACTCTTTGTTCTCTTATAGGCTAACATTAGTTTTTGAGTAACAATACAAGGTAAAATCCATTTCTCAATGTTCGTCTTTGGAGTAAAAGCAGCCCCCTATGCAATGCATCACTTAGAATATCTCTTGATGAGAGAGAAAATTGGTGCTTTGTCTTTAAAAACTTGCATCCCGTTGCGTGAAACTGATTCAACCTTCCATGCAGGACCGAGTAGCCAAGATACAGCGGCTCCACCTATCAAGCCTCCTACCTGAAGTTTGAAACATACGAAAAAAACGATCAAATTGGACCAAATATAAATGCTACGGTGAATGAAGAATATATAAGCAAAACATCATTGCTATGCTAAAGAATGTCATCAAGTAAATATAAGTTAACCATACTTACATGACCCCAGTTATCAATGCCTTTAGATAGAAGTCCAATTGCCTGCATGACAGGTCAACTTCATTTGGTGAACTAAAGTAGCAAAAATTAGAAGATAACTGACTTGATAGTGAACATAACTACTGTGATTAAAACTTCCAACCCAATAAATGTTCTATCAGCATCACCAGATTCAAGCAGCTATGTAGAGTAGACCACAAAATTTGATGATAAAAGCCTGATAGGTGCCTAAAGAATGAAACACAAGCAACTGGTGTAACACAGACACAATGTTGAGGTACTTAAGATGCACTATGGTTAGGATGTAAAGTATATGGTTTCAAAGTATTGGTCTCAAGATTGATTTACAACAGAAATCTGGGGTTTATACACAAATATATTATAGGGATTGTGAATCTGAGAAATGTGAGTGGCATACCATATTGAACATGACCACTTGTGCTATATGTTTTAGATGTCCTTCAGTGCCTTTGACCACGCCCCTGTGCCTCAGGACAAACATAGCAAAGGATCCTACCTGATTGTGCACCAGACTCAAGCAATTAAAACATACATAAAAAGGTGAGGAGAAACAGGGTTGCATAAAAGATTTCCTGGTTCTGCAAGTTCTAATTTTTTAGCATAGCTTCTCATAACTGAATGAACCTTGAGTAAAGATTGAGGTAAAGATTATGCAAAGAAAACAATGCACGTATAATTTTGCTGCACCTTTAGAAGATTTATACCAGAAATAAATATACAAAATGAGCTCAGAAGCCACTGCAAACATATTTATGGATGGGTACTGATAAGTAATTAAAATCTCTTATATGGGAGAATTGAAACTCTCTACCTTCGACTCGAATTTGGTAACAGATGTTTTAGTTTTGCATTAGTACTCAACTAAAAAGTCAGAGAAGTTGGTAACTACACAGTTCAAGAACTTACTAGTCCAAAAATAGCTCCTGATGCTCCAATAGCAGGTGCTTTGCTGAACCAGTAACTAACTGCTGAACCTGATTTTCTTTAAATGACTCAATCAGAACAATTTTGGATATTTTTGGATAAGAAGTGCATTGTCTATGGTAATCGGATATCAATGTTTACTACTTTACTTGCTATTGCAGAGGTGATGTATATCGGAAGGTATCTTCTAGGACCGCATATTTTCTCAACAGCAGGACCAACAGAGTTTAAAGAATAACAATTGATCTGAAAAGGTGAAACTTCTTTTCAATTAACTGGTAAGAGTGTCAAACTAAACAAGCATTTCATTTGTAGTAATTCAAATCAAACCATCAGATGCCCAATATTTGCATGCAGAAAGGATGATGTAGCTAGCCTCCACAGCTGCCCTTTGTCTATTAGATTATTGATCTACAAGGATACAGAACCCCATAAGAATTTATTAATAAAACTCTCTATAAGAACGTAAATAATGTAGTACTGCAGGGTCAACCACAAATTCAGACCTTGGCTCCCCAAAATAAGAGCTTGCCATCTGTAAGGGTTTGTGCTATATATACTCTGCAAATAAATTCAGAGAAAAGAATTTAATTGCACGATATACCAGATATATATGAGGAGACCATTGAGAGCCCTTTTTCTAGATTATCTGTATGCTTTTTCTTCCTACATTTTCCCTTTGTGTGTGTGTGTGTAGTGTTGGGGCAGCGGGGGTGGGGGTGGGAAGTCTTTGGTGGAAGGAGTTAAAAGAAGCAGCATTGAGGTTCTGATACCAAATAGATGACTCTTAAAGATGCTTTCATGAGGTATTGATACTCACAATACGTTGGCTGCAAGAAGAATATTAGTCCACTTCCTTCCGTCTGATAAGACTCTTCTAGATATGTCTGAGTTTGACTTCCTAATATCTTTAGAATCAATTCTAGTTTCATCTCCATTGAAGAAACATAAGCTCAAGAATGGCAGAGCATCGCGAGACCATTGAAAACCATTACAACCTGAAAACTGAAGCACCTTTTTATGCCATATATCCTCGAATTGAAGGGCGTCACCAAGACAAGAAATATTCTGTACAAAAACAAAATTGAAGTGAAATCTTCCATGTTCTATCAATACAATGAACTACTGATGCAAGGAGAAACTTAAATGCTTCCACATTAAGTAACTATTAGTAGCTTCTCACACCTTTGGCAAGATATGACTAACAGTCCTTTTGTCAAGTTCTAAAATTTTATTCTATATGAGAGACCAACGACATATAATCTATCAGGCTTTAGTCACACTGAATCTAAGCGAATGTGAATTTAAGATCTCCATGGATGATCAGTTCAGTATATTCACAAACCCACACACACCCTGAAACTGAAAGATGCCATATTATTATATTATTTCAGTCAATTAAAGCTCCGAGGGTAAGACCAATTCTGAAACTTAATTTGTGAATCTAGTATATGAATATGCGAGAGCATGTTTGGTTTCACTTAAAAGTAGGTATTCACCCAACATGATTTCCAAAATCACTTTTCACACAAACAAAATTTAAAGGCACAGACCAACATTCTCTGATCTATTTCTTGTTTGTAAAATCTTCTAATTACAAATTATGGAAATTCTTCCTAATCGATAAACCTCGGGATTTCTATTATCATCACAGGAACTCAAGTTTAAAAGCTACTCATTTTAGCATAATTTAATTGCAAATACACCAGCATAACCTTGAAAACATATCAACTACCGACAAGGGGGAAAATATCTCACGTAATTTATAACACTTTTATCTGTAACGGAAAGCAAATATTACCATGAATCGATTAATCAAAAATAAATAAATAAATCAAGAACGTTCATTACATGCCCCACGTGTAATAAGGCTTAGGAATGTTGTTTATTTTCCCTGGAAATGTTAAGGTGGAGTACCTTGAGGGAGGAATGAAGAAGGGACCCAAGATGGAGACGGCGGCGGTAGAGTACGGCGTCGCCAAGGCGGAGAGCGGCGGCGGTGGAGATGAGGTGAGTGGGTGCAGGGCCCAATATGGAAATGGGCACAGAGAACTTTGGATTGGATGGCAATCCACCCATACCCAGTGTGATCTTCAACTTCACAAACAAAAATACCAAATACAAATATAGGGCCGCTATTCCCCCCAAGTTCTTCAAACGAGAATATATTTATTACAAGAGAAAGAAAAGACAGTCGTATAAAAAGTAAAAACAGAAAGAGAGAAGAAATGGTTAGGTAAATTAGTTTTTTTTATTAAGCCTTTGACTCACGTTATTTTTAAAAAAATACATTTTTTAATAGCGTATTGATAAAAAATTATGTAATTAAAAAATAAAAAAAATTAATTTACGTATGATATTATTTTATTAAAAAATATATGGTTGAAATAATATCAAATCACTGTTGAAAAATATATTTTTTTCAAATAATGTGGATCAAATATGGCCTAAATCTAACTTTATTATTATTATTATTATTTTCCCGGGGGGAGGGGGTGTGGAGGGGATGATTCTTTTGGTAAAATCAAAATCATTGTGACAATTATTAAAATCCTACACAGAAGAGTAATGCTATTTATAGTCACTCATTGTTGCTGTCGTCCTATGTGTCATACATGTTACGATTAGTGATTGATATATGACGTAAGAAATAATTACTATATTAATACATCAAATCACAAACTGTTATATAGAATGTCACGTAGAACGACTGTCGCAGTGAGCAACTATAAATAACATTACTCTACAAAGAATACAATTAGAAGTTAGAAAATTTAGAGAATAAAATGGAACTCTAACGATCAAAAAATCAATTCTCAAAATCCCTACCAAACATGCACCAAGTTGATAAAAATGGTTGGTAAAACAAGTATTAGCAGAAACTTGACATTTGATCTCAAATGATTTAAAAAAGTGTTGTTGAAATGATTGATGTAGATGTTGTTTTGTAAACCAACTTTGTCAACTAATATTTCTCAAAAAAATTCTTTTACAAGAAGCTAAAGTCCTGCCAAGCAAGTTGTTCGTGTTCAATATAAAACTCAAAACGAATTCCGTGAATGCAAATAAGCAGCAACTTTTGCTCATTCGTCCCTTCTACATATTCCTATTTACATTGATTCAATATATTTCTTGAAGAGTGAATCTTATGCAACTGAATCCCCAAAAATTTTAATTAATTTCCAAAACTTTCGCTTGTAAACCTTAGAAAAGTAGAAGAAAAGTTACCTCGTAAAAATGGCTTAAAATGTTTCTCCTAGAATTAAGACATCACATACAGATATAGGTAGAGAGAGCGCTTTCACGGAAGCGCCAAAATAAGTTTATTACACAAATTATTATTATTAATTCGACCTTGACGTCTAGACTAAAATTGAATAAATAAATCTGTCCTTTCTAACGTCTTAATCTTTGAAACGTAGTTCATAGTTTATTACCTTCGAGAACTGCAGTACTCATTGTATTATCAAGAAAATTGAGCACAGATTAGCCCAATTCAAAACTATGCCAAAGGCCGTCGCAGAGAGAAAAAACGAGTCCATCTTCAGTTTTCTCTAGTCCACATTTCATCATCACTTATAATTTTGTTAAAAAATATTGCGATTATCATTCGATAATCCTTGCAATTCAAATCGACGAATAGGATAGGTATTGTGCCTGTGCAGCCATGGAAGAATGCATTCAGAGGGATAAAAATGTTTGCATGGAAGTTGTCTCACTTCTGTTCCAACCTCATATTCATCCTTGCAAGTGGGACACTGAATCACTCGCGCCAAATGGTTGGCTATCAGTGCCACGACCAGCTAGGCCTTCCTGGCAGAATCAGAGGTAGGAGGTGTTGGAGAATTACATCGATAATTGTACATAATATATTCATAAAAACATACCGTTAATTTGCGTGAAATCGAAATATAATTTCAACTTACCCAGATAGGATTTGAGAAAACAAAATAAGAATTTATCGAATCCGAATACCTGAATATAGATTCTTCCCTTTCAACTCATGATCGAAAGCAAATAATTCTTTGGATCAAACGGATTTTTGGCCGAAACAAGTATTGGACACTTTGTCCTTAAGATGAATTTGCCTCGCATCGGTGCTAACGATTTTCCGACAATCATCTCCCAAGATACAACGATCACGTCGAGCCATAAGAACACTCCAAATGACTTCGATCAGCAAACTCGAACGGAATTCCCTCTCTACCATGACCACGTCTTTGATGCAAATGTTTTATGCAAAACCAAAGTGTAAATCGGAATGAAATAATATGGTATCTATGACTTTTTTTGAATTTCTTGAATGATAAAATTCAAACATATGGAGTCTATATATAGTAGTTGGAAAGATATGTCAAAAGACACAACCATACAAAGAGTCACATCTCTTGAAATTTATAATTATTGGAAATTAATCATACACATACCAAGAGTCATGATTCTCCATATGTCAAGACATATTTTCATCCATATATTTCTAGAATATTACACAATATTCTATACAATTTTCCAATAATTTCAAGTATTAAGCGGCTTTATATTTGGCTTAATTTCTCATTCACCAAGTTAAGAATTCCACTTAAATAATTATGTAAAATTGGTCAGATACAAAATTTCAACAATCCCCACATGAATAAAAATTAATGCAAATGTCTATACAGATACTGGTAGAGAGAAAGCGGGAAAACACTGCATCAGGTAAGATAGTTTCTGGCTTTGAACCTTCCTTAGTGAAATACCATCGGATTTATTAACTAATTGGTGAACGCGATGTTCTTGAACCATCAGCCGTTGGTGTAAACCAAGACAACAGTACTCACACAATGTCTCACATAAACTGTTCATGGTTCTCACGACTTGATTCATTTTGGCCCTGAACCCATCTTGGTTCTGTAAGTATTTAGAGAATTCAAGCCTTGAATAATTCTCATTAAAGTGGCCCCACTTTACACTTATATAGGTGATCTCCTATTAAGAGTATTCTGTCATACTCCACTTGAATTAATCAAGATATAGAAATCATTAAAAGTTTATTCTAACCTCCAACCACTCCGCAGAAAGCACTTTGTTATCATAGGAATGAGTTAGGAAATTAGTTTTTTATGTGCTTCACGGAATCCTCATAACTTAGTTGTCCTTTTGAACCAAGATTTTGGGATCTCCAGTCAACATGGTAGGGTTAACATCATAAGGACTCTTACTTAGTAGGTTTAATCTCATTCCCTTCGATATGCAGTATACTTGATCTCTTGGTAAACATATATAAATGGATTCACAAGTTTACATCAATGAGATCAACTGCTTATGGTATTATGTCTACGACATACATGTCTAGACTTACCATTATATGTAACTTAGTATCTTTTCAAATTTAGCTAGCCAACGATCGATTCATTTGATAGATACACATTGTCACCAACTAAGAAATCCTCTCATGAAGCTACATGCTTCTCATTAGCTTTATCTAAAACTTTATCAATTCCAAACAACAATGTTGGAGGATTTCTAACAAATCGTTACACTAGTCAATCATATTTATTAGTGAATTTCATACATGAGTATTCAATATCTTCATTAAAGCATTGCAATGCATTCAGACTTTATGAATATTCCAATTGTTCTTGTATATCCAAACAACCGTCATAATCGGCTTTCATCCCATTTCATCCACTTTAGGGCTTTCATCCCATTTTATCCACTTTAGACTTAGTGTATATTATCGCATCACAATATCCTTTCAATACCGCAAGATATCTTATGAAATGTAATCCATAGGTCATTGTTTATTTCAAATACTTAAGGACCCTGTCAATGTCACTCAATAATCATGGTCTGGATTACTCGTGAATCTACTAAGTTTATTCACAGTAAAATCATTATCCGATCGAGTGCATTTCGTAATATACATTAGAATGCTAATTACTTGTGAATATCTCAGTTGTGACATGCTTTCACCCTTATTTTGATCAAGTGTAGACTTGTGTCAATACTTCAAACTTTTTAAATATTTTCTCAACAAATGAGATTGGGAAAGTACAATTCCTTCCGATATTCTAGAGGTTTTTATCTCTAGTATTACATCTACTACACCCAAATCTTTCATGTCGTAATGCTTCGTAAGCATTTTTTTGGCATTTAGCACCATTTCGTGACTATTGCCCATCATCAACATATTGACTACATACAAACACATAGGCATCTGGTGTATTTTTCATGCATACATACTTGTTACATTCATTTATTTTGAACTCATTTGACAACATCGTTTTGTCAAACTTTTGGTGCCAGGAGCTTGTTTTAGTCCATATAAGGACTCAACAAGTTTACAAACTTTGTGGCTTGCACTTGGAAACACCTTTAGGTTGCTCTATGTATATCTCTTCTTCTAACTCACCATTTAGGAATCCCATTTTCACATTCATTTGGTGAATCTCAAGGTAATGTATAGCCGTAGTTGCAATTAGTAACCTTATCGAAATGATTCTGGTCACGGGTGAATAGGTAAAGAAGTCAAATCCATCTTCTTGCCTATATCATTTGGCAACCAATCTAGCCTTATATTTATCAATGGATCGATCATATTTTAATCCATTTACACCCTAAGGCTTATTTTCGGGAGGTATATCTACCAATTCCCATGTATGAATTTGCATTCTGAAATCTATCTCACTATTGATAGCTTCCTTCCAATGCGTGCTTTCGAAATAAACATTGCTTCTTCAGAAGTCTTTGGATCATTTTCTATCATATATGTTAGAAAATTCGGACCAAACGAAGTGGACGTTCTAGCCTTCTTACTACGCCTTAGTTTATCCTCATTTGAAGATCCATTTATAGTTTCATACGTTTTGTTATTCAAACTTATATTTTCCTTATCTTTGCAAGGAAACACATTATCAAAGAATATCACATTCCTTGACTCAATTATGGTACCCTCGTGTACATCCGATTTGTGTACGAGAAAATGATATGCACTACTATTATTGGCGTATCCAATGAATATACAATCAATCGTTTTAGGACCAATCTTTATTTGTTTATACTTAGGAACCTCAACGTTTGCCAAACACCCCTACACTTTTAAGTGTTGGTAGGAAGGAGGATGACATTTCCATAACTCATATGGTGTCTCTTCCATTTTCTTGAGATGTACAGAAAAGTGTAACTTTAAACTAAGTTACCCTCACAATTCCTAAAT